GAGAGCGTAAGAGGATGGAGGCGGAGGCGTGAGGGAGGTAGGGGCACGAGGTAGCAGGAAGGGGGATGAACGGAAGGGAGCAAGAGGAAAAACACGAGGGCGAGGAGAAGGCGGAGGAGGACGCACGGCGAAAAGGAGGACGGAAATGGAAAATGCAGACTTCCCTTTCCGTTCTCCGCACCCTCTCCGCGTGCGCGCGGGGGGGAAGGACAGATGACGACCCACCCTTTTCTCGCCCCATGCCTTCAATCAGGGAAGGCCTGATCCGCCGACCAGGGTTCGAGGGTGTGGGTGATCTGTCGATGGTGCAGGGTCGGGACGATGGAGCGGCCTCCCCAGGGCGGACCAGGACAGTGAAGCCGGATCTTTCCGGGTCGAGGTGTCGATTTGGGAGAGTTGGAGGACTTGTCGCGACTTTTGGAGACTTCCGGGCACGGGGGCCTCCTGTGGAACCTCCAGGGGCCTCCGGAGGGATCTGGAGAGGGACGGGAGCACAATTAGTGCAGTTCTCGTGCACCGTTGGGTTGACGTTTCATCCCTTTGATGGCCCGTTTGGGTCCGACCGACCACCGACGAGGCGCGTACCACAAGAATTGTGAAGCAGATCAGCCTGGATCCGATTAGGTTCCCTTCGCAAGCACCAGTGCGTCTTCTCACGGCTTCTCCTGTTTGCGAGTGCTTGAGCACTTGTTTTACCCCTGAGTTGTTCCTCGCACCTGCGACAAGAACACGTAACCACTTGCAGTCCCACATCGTTCTACCCGTTTTTCTTACTTTTCTTACCTTTCGTTGTTGGCGTCCTCCTTGTCCGTCTTCTGTCCTCCTCATCCTCGGTTTCCTTCCTTTCCTCCTTTAGGGGGCAACATGCGAACCCTACCCCTACCCCCCACGATTTCCGAGGGGTAAGGTGGGGTTCACTTCGCTCGGGAGCTCCCGAACGAAGTGAACCCCACCCTCCCCCTCGGAAATCGTGGGGGGTAGGGGTAGGGTTCGCATGTGGCCCTCTAAGGCATTCGCCGAATGGGTGACGGCTTCGTGTCGCGCGCGTCCGCAGACGCGCCGGTCGTTTTGCGGCGTCTCGACACGGAGCTGGCGCAGCGCAGCGGCGCAGCTCGAGACGGGGACTGGGCGCGTGCCGTCACGCACGTGGCACGTTGGCGTCGACAGCAAAGCTCTCCTACATAGTCTCGAGCAGTTTCCATTGGGACGGACGAGGGACTCGGGGACGACGACGACGACGACGACGACGACGGAGACGGCGACGACGACGACGGAGACGGCGACGACGACGACGATGACGACGGCGACGAGGGCGATGATGACGACGACGACGACGGTGACGAGGGCCTGAGGCCAGGGCGGGGCCCCCAGGCCTTGTTTCCCTGGCCCCGTCTTGCTCCTCCGCCATTCGCCGTCGTCGCCGTCCGTCGCTGTCCTCCTCTGCGTTATCCTGCTCCTCGTCCCCCCCTCCACCTCGAGTCTCGGGTCACTTCTCCCGTGCAGGACGAGGGCTTCGTGAATTTTCACGACTTCCTGGCCATCATATCCGAGCTGCGGAAGGCCGAGGCGCCCCTCTCGCTCGCCACCACTCGCGCGGGGGAGGGGTGGGCGGGCTAGAAGGCGAGCACGTCATTGGTCAGCTGTGTGGCTTCGCCGTCGTCGTCGTCGTTGCCGTCGTCAATCGTAGACCTTGAGTCGTCGGCCGTCGTCGCCGTCGTCGCTACTTCCTTGTCGTCGTCGTAGTCGCCGCCGTCGCCGTCGTGCGCCGCGGTCGGAGGGGCTCGCGACGGGCACATCGCGGCCAATCGCGAGCACGGCGACGAGCCAGAGTCTCCCAGCACTCCACGGCGGGAAAGGATACGGTCGGTACTTGTGGGATCGCGTGTCTTTCCGCCGGTTCTTTCACACCACGCTACGGCGCGTCGAGCTATCCACTTCGCGGCCTCCAGGCGTCAGCGTCCCAAGTTAATTTCCCGACCTCCCGCCCCGCGTTGCGAAGCGACACGCTATCCGCTCTCAAGGCATGGCGTGTCGCCAGGGCCGCCGCCGCGACACGCTAGCTGAGAGTGAGAAGACTTCGGAACTGTCCCCAGACCGCACCGTGCTCAAGGTGGTCCCAGGATCTCCAGGGAGTCCCCTACGGCCTCCTGAGCAACCCACGTGGGTTTCACAGGGCCTGGGTGGCTCCCGAATTCTGCGAAACATTAGCGACACATTAAGCCAATGACTCACGTGCCCCCCTCCGCTCCCCAAGAAAACCTCCGACGTCGAGATGTTGCCACATCGGGGGCCTCCGGAGGCCTCGACCCCGTCCCTTGGACAGGCTTCCCGAGTAGTTAGTTGTTTGACGTTCCCGAGGGGCCCCCACAGGGCGAAAATTGAGAAAAGGCCTGCGCTGTGATTTGCTGCCCGAGACTCCCAAAACTGTGTCCTGGCAGGGTGGCCGATGTTCGGCCATTGCCTGGACCCCTCTCGGAGGAGGCGGAGGAGGAGAAGGGGACCTGAGGTGATACGGCTCAGGGGCGCGTTAACCCCTCTAATGGGCCCAGCTTCCCTGAGCCACCACCCTGACCCTGTAGGGCACGGTGGCACGATGTAGCATATGTCCTGGGGCCGTCTGGGTCCAGACCGCACAGTCTAGGAGGAGCAGGAGCAGGAGGAGCTGCTGAGTTCGACGAGGAGAGGACGGGGAGGAGAAGGAGGAGGCGGAGGAGGAGGAGGAGGAGGAGGAGGAGGCGGAGGAAGAGGGTGGAATTCAACCGGGGCACTTTGATTTGCTCACGACGCGAGGGGGGGGGGGGCTGGGAGGGGGAGTCCAACCGGGGCGCCTTGATTTCGCTCACGACGCGAGGGGTTGGTCTGGGCCCCCTGGGTGGCAAGAGAGGCCGCCGCCTCCAAGCCGGCGCTGCTGCAGGCGACGAAGGAGCCCTCGCAGATTGACCGCCGTTCAGCCGTGCCGGGCAGCAGGGAGGGAAGGAGCCGGAGGAGGTGACGGCGTGCCGTGCCACGAGGGGCCCCCGGCAGCGGGAACGCAAGGAGGAGGAGGAGGTGGAGGAGGAGGAGGAGGAGGAGGAGGAGGAGGAGGAGTAGGAGGAGGAGGAGGAGAAGGAGAAGGAGGAGGAGAGGAGGAGGAGCAGGAGTAGGAGGAGGAGGAGGAGGAGGAGGAGAAGGAGGAGGAGGAGGAGGAGGAGAAGGAGGAGAAGGAGGAGAAGGACGAGGAGGAGGAGGAGGAGGAGGAGGATTCCTCCTGCTCCTGCTCCCCGAACAGGCGGGGCGATCCTCTGCTGGCCCTCCCCCTGCCGCTCCTCCCGTTGCTGCTCCTCCTCGTGCTCCTCCTCGTCCTCCTCCCCCTCGTGCCCTGCGCGCGAGGCCTGAAGAGGAGGCGAGTGAGGAGGCGGGGCAGGAGGAAGTGGAGGAGGAAAGGGAGAGATTAAAGGGTGGAAGGGGAAGGAGAGGGGACAATTAGACTGGGTGGGACGGACGGAGGACGAATGGGAGGGACGATGAGGATGAGGATGGGGATTATGAGCTGGACAACGACTACGATGTCGATGAATGACGACGAGGCTGATAATGTTGATGATGCTGATGATGATGATGATGATGATGGTGATGACGATGATGATGATGATGATGATGATGATGATGATGATGATGATGATAATAATAATAATAATGGTGGTGATGATGATGGTGAGGAGGGGTGATGATGAACGTGAGGAGGTATGGTGATGATGATGGTGAGGAGTAGTGATGGTGATGGAGAGCGTGATGCTGGTGGTGGTGGTGGTGATGGTGATGGTGATGGCGATGATGATGATGATGATGATGATGATGATGATGATGATGATGATGATGATGATGATGATGATGAGGTTGCTGATTCTGCTGATGATGCGGGTGATGTTCGCGATAATGATTATGATGGTGCTGATGATTTCGATGCTGATGACGATTATATGATGATGATGCTGATCGTGATTATGATTTCCAGGATGATGGTGATGGCGGTGATGATGGCGTTGCTAGTGATGTCAATGTTGATGCGGATGATGATACCAATGTTGATGCTGATGATGGGGTTGCTAGTGATGCTAGTGATGATGATGCTGCCCATGTTGATGCTGATGATGATGACGATGATAAAGGTGACGATGATGTTGCTGATGTTGATGATGATGAGGATGCTGATGGTGATGATGATGGCGATGCTGCTGCTGATGATGATGATGATGATGATGATGATGATGATGATGATGGTGAAGATGGAGGTGGGGAGGGCAACATGGACGAACATAAGCAGGATGAGGCTGTGGAAGAGGAGGCGGAGAGGCATACATATGTTTGTCGGAATCATGCCGGAAGATTTGAGGCAGATGGAGGCGGCGTGCGGCGTACGGAGCAAGGAGGAAGGAGGCTGGGTGGAGGAGGAAGGAGGTGGGGAAGGAGGGCGGATTGAGAGGCGGAAAGGGCCGAGGGGAACCGCCGCCGCTGCCACGGCCCAGCTGTGACACTCAGGGACCGGGCCAAGACCTCCAAGCGCAGTGGGGCTCCACAGTGTCCTGTACCGCCTGCGGAATTCCGTCGAAATCGGAAGCCCGAACACGAAAACAAGCAAGCTGGCAATCTGAGCAGGGCATCGCCAGGGCGGTCAGCCCGAGCACAGGAAAACGCCTAAATCGAGCAGTCGATCACGGAGAACGTCCGAGCTTACTTGCAGTGATACGCCCGTGTTGAGATGCAACACGTACCGTTTTCAAAACGTTTGTGTTTACAGGTTACGTGTTGGCCTTGCACGTGTTGGCCACGTTTTGGCGAACGTATCGCGCCATACCTATATTTGTCCGTCTACGTGTTGAGCTCCGTGTCAAATGCACGTGTTGCGTGTTGCGTATCTTTGCAGCGGCAGCGACCTTCGCTGCAAAGATACGCAACACGCAACACGCGCTTCGCCGAAGCGGCCGAGCTGGCATCCCGAGTGCCCAGGTCGCTCTCGCGCCGGCTGGCGCGAGCTGCCCGCCATCCCGCTGGGGGAAAAGCGCGTCACCCAGAGTCGGTCGCGCAGGGTCTTCGGTAGCAAGTCATGGGAGCCGGCCTTCCCCTCGCAGCTCCATCTTTACAGCGCACTAGCATCGATCGGATTCGATTGGCGTCGATTCGCAAGAGGCAACAATATTGTATGGGAGGGTCTCATGAACTGTCGCATGAGTGGTCTTCCTCGGTTGCTGGCACCGACACCAGTACCAGGAGGAAAGAAGCGAGACAACACCACCACCACTAGTGGGGCCACCTCCAGCGAGGAGGTCAACAATGCCCTCCCCGACCCAAGGATTGGAGATGTCTTAAACGAAAAGAGGGGGCCACACCACCAGGAGGACCACCTGGCCCAAGTCCAGGGCTGTTGCAAGATTTCGCTTTGGCTGCCTTGCGGTCGGCCTCGCTCGCGCTGCACGTTCGGGATAGCTTCCTTGGGGGGCAATGGATTCCTCCTTCTCCTCTGCTTGGAACCGAGAGACCCAAACACCACCAGGAGGACCACCCCTGGCTCCTCGCGCTGGTCTTTGTGGTGACGCTTTTCCCTTGCCCCTCGGCACTGGCCACGCGTAAGCGTGACCCTTCGCTCGAGTGACCTCGCGTGCGAGCCCACAGTCAGACGAGCAAGGGGTCATGGTAATGACACGTTGCAGCCATTCCCAGATTTTCAGAATTTCCCAGATTTCTCAGTCGCCGACCCTTTCACACAGACTGCAGAAACGAGGGCCGCTAGATGCTCCGGAATTCATGGGACGTATCCTGAGCCAGACGCATCATGACATCATTCTCGTTCTACACAGAGAGCCCCCCATATCCTCCCAGCCCGGCATCGGCGCTTGGGGTTGACCCCACCGTGGCCGTTTGACGCCGCGCAAACGACAGCACCAGGAGGTTGTGTAAGAAGGGCAGCCGGCCAGGAGGGCAGCCAGGAGCGTCTGGGCGGCCACGGCCGCACCGCGCTTGCCGTCAGCCGGCCCGTCTGGCCGGAGACGTCTCGCGCGATCGGTCGTTCGTTTTGGGAGCTTGCTGACGCCCCCACGACGCAGGATAATCTCCTGCTTGAGACTCCGATGAATATATATATATATATATATATATATATATAACATGACGCGGAGGCGCTCGTTAAAGAAAGCGCCCTGGAGGCTACAGACCCTGGACGAATCTTTACCTGATGAGGGCCTCGCTGATATCTACTGACAAGCCTCAATCTGCTCGGTGTGTCAGCGGCTTCCAGGTTCCAGGCCCTGGCTTCCTTATCCAATCCCTTCACCGTGCTTACCGCTACCTGTCTCTCGTTGCCCTGGGTGGGTTCACCTTGACCGACGGGGCTACTTTCGGGTGTTGCCCAGGCGCTGGCAAACTGGTGCCAGGTGTGACCTCCTGAGAGCGCGCAGGGGATGGCAAAAAGTGTGTGTGTAGGTGTGTGGGTGTGTCGTTGTGCGCGTGAATGTGTGTGTGTGTGTGTGTGTGTGTTTCTCTGTGTGTGTTTGTTTGCGTGTGCGTGTGTGTGTGTGTGTGTGTGTGTGTGTGTGTGTGTGTGTGTGTGTGTGTGTGTGTGTGTGTGTGTGTGTGTGTTCGTGCGTGCGTGGGTACATGCGTGCGCGTGCGCGTGCGCGTGCGCGTGCGCGTGCGCGTGCGCGTGCGCGCGTGCGTGTTCGTGTGCGTGTGCGTGTGCGTGTGCTTGTGCGTGCGCGCGTGCGTGTGTACGTGTGCGTGTGCGTGTGCGCGTGTGTGTGTGTGTGTGTGTGTGTGTGTGTGCGTGTGCGTGTGCGTGTGCGTGTGCGTGTGCGTGTGCGTGTGCGTGTGCGTGTGCGTGTGCGTGTGCGTGTGCGTGTGCGTGTGCGTGTGCGTGTTCGTGTTCGTGTGCGTGTGCGTGTGCGTGTGCGTGTGCGTGTGCGTGTGCGTGTGCGTGCGTGCGTGCGTGTGTGTGTGTGTGTGTGTGTTTGTGTGTGTGGGGTGGGGGGGTGGGTAACACAGTCTGAATCACTAGACGGGCGACGGCACAAGTGGTCTCAAGGATGCGAAGCGCCACGTGCACATACAGGAATTTGCGATGCATTCTGGACCAGCGAAAACAGAACCTAGTAGTGATAGAGACGAAGACGACGGACGACAGACGAACGACGATAGCGCGGGTGATGGGAGGCAGGGGGGGGCGTGTGGGGGGGAGGGCGAAGGGCGGCGCGCGCACGCCCATACGCTCGCGCGCACTCACAACGCCAGCTGCGGCCCACGCAACCCCCGGGAAGCAACCGGCGGTGGTCGGGGCTGGCCGCGCTGGCCCGCCGGCGGCGCGCTGGCCCCCGCCGCGGCCGGGCACCGCGCCCTTGAAACACTCCCGCGGCCACGGCCGCGACCGCCGCCAGGTCAAGCGCGCCCGAGCCGCGCGGCGCGGTGTTCAGCTGCAGCGCTGTTTCCCCGTCTGCGGTGGTTCATCGGCTGGTACGCGGCATGCAAATAGAGTGCGCTCTTTTGTGGGAAACCTCATCGATGTGATCTCAGATGTGGATATCTCGACGATCCATTCCGCTCCACTCCATATTCTTCCACCCGAACGGGGCATGTCCGCCCCGTGGCGCCATGCGCTGCCTCTTCGGTGCCAGGGAAGGCGCCCAAAGCGGCCGTTGTTCGCAGCGCCGCCGCCCGCGCCCCGCACGCGGGATCCGCGTGCTGCGCCGTTGCGGCGGGCGGTGGTCTGCATGCAGAAGCGGCGGCCGCCTCAGCGGCGCTGGACGCCGGCGTTCCGTTGCTTCGCTGGGGCTCGCGCAAGGCCGACGCCGAGCTGGAGCGCCAGGGCTGGGTGCGCGCTGACGCCAGGGCAGTGCAGAAGTTAAATTTCAGCCCGCTGGCGCCTGGGAGCGAGGGCTCCTCGTCAGCGTCCGCCCAGC